ATATAATAATAGATTGGTGATTATGGCTGATTGTACTCAAAGTCTCAAACTCTATAATGAAAGTAAAATGAACGATATTTGTCACATGAAGGTTGCAGATTGTGACACGAGGGAATTTACCGATCAGAAAAGAGAGGAGATGTCGGTCTCTGATTTTATAGAACACTGCCTTCGAGTGGAGGGTTCTGCAGTTCAGTGCAATAATGAAAATCATACAAGTAATGATCACTCTGTACCATATTTGAAGGATTGGCATTTTGTAAAGGTATGGCTTTTATCTTTTTCATCTATTCTCCATTGGTTGACAGATATCAGTGCCTATCCTATCTTTCCTAAGTGTTAAGTAATCTTTGAAGGGTCAGTTTTATGTGCTCTTACAAATTTGAAGAAGAGATTTGTGCCAAAATTGATGACAGAACCCATCCTTGAATTTTTCTCCCCTGTTTAAGGGGATAGCGAACTTACTCTGAAAGTTAAGGTTTATGTTTTCTGAAAGATGTCATCATCCATATCATCAATCTGAATGATGCGCGAACTTAGGATGATGTGGGTTGTGTTATATTGAATTGTGGATGACAAAAATTAAATTCTTAATTAATTATCCCACAAGTCGCACAATTTAGGTTCCTTGGAGCTATCTTTTATCATACATGATTGAGAAATTGAGGGAAATGTAAATCATAGGATTCTAGGTAGGTGGATGAAATGGAGGAATGCTCGAGGTGTTTGTGATCCAAAGGTACCTATCAAACTAAAATGGAAATTCTGCTGAACAGCCATTAGACTATGCTCTATGGCACAGAATGCTGCACAATAAAGTGCCAGCAAGATCATAAGATAAATGTGGCTGAGACGAGATTGTTGCATTAAATGCATGTGCATGCAAGAAGAGATAAGATCAACAATGAATAATGAATGTATTAGAGGGAAAGTAGGAGTAACACATATTAAGGAAAAGATGGTAGGATTGTGCCTATAATGATTTATACATGTGGGAAGAAGACCAATAGAATCCTCGGCTAGGAGAGTTTATGATATGGAGGATAATCCAACATTTAGAGGCAGAGGACGACATAGAAAAACTTTACTGGAAGCCATTAGAATATATTTTTATACTTAAATGGATTGTCGAAAAAATTGGTTTTTGGTAGAACACAAGGGTGTTGTTTTATCCATGTAGTTGATTCCACCTTGTGGGAAAAGTAGTTGGTTCTTAATCCAAATGAATTTGTATTGGTCTGTTGTTTTGCATCAATCGTAATTTATTTTGCTAATGCAAGCTTCCCATATAACCAAGTTGTAAGCTTGTGTCTTCTTTATATAGGCACACACATTGTGTAAGAGGAAATGGAAGTTAATGAATGACTAGGATTGTTGGTCCTTTTGGTGCCGAGAGCCCGAGAGTTCTCATTATCATTACAATCAAGCTTTTATGTGATAATTCTTGTTTGTACAGATGTTGCTTACTAATTTTTTATTTTGTTATTCTGGCAGGAGTATCCTGAATATGCAGCATACATCACTCCAATGTTCTTTTGTGATGATTGGCTCAACCTGTATCTTGACAACTTCAGAATGCATATAGATTCCGACACATGCCAACAGAACGAGGAAATATGTAGCTCTGACTATCGTTTTGTTTACATGGGGGTGAAAGGTTTGATTATAGGTGTAGTCGTGTAGTAAATTATTGTTGTAGCAATTAATGTCAGATGATTCCATACTCCCCTTAAAGATAGGTGAACAGCCTACAGCCCTACAGGTAACTCATAGCTTTCATTTCTTCTGGCAGAATCTTGGACCCCTCTTCACGCCGATGCTTTCCGGTCCTATAGCTGGTCCTCAAATGTCTGTGGAAAGAAGAGATGGCTTTTTCTAGATCCTTCCCAGTGTCATCTTGTATTTGACAGGCTTGGATGCTTATCTTTTGCCAAATAAATTAATGGCATTGTTTCTGAATTCTTTGATTATTGTCTTTTTTATTTACTTGTCAACTTTTATTCAGGAATATGAAAAACTGTGTATATAATGTCTTTGATGAAGTATCTGACTCAAAATTTCCTGGTTTTAAAAAGGTAAATTTTAAGTTTCCGTTTTGCCTCAAATCTTATTCAAATACACTTGTGCTTCAACCTTCAGTGAGTTTGTATATGTATGCAGGCTATCTGGTTAGAATGTACACAAGAAGCGGGTGAAATTATATTTGTTCCCAGTGGTTGGTATCATCAAGTTCATAATTTGGTATGTTCTGGTTACCTGTGTGAATTGCTGTTATATTCCCATTTGGATTTGAAAGGCTGTCGCATAGTCCTGTTAGAATAAGAATTTTTTATATACCCAATAGAAGCAATTATCATGTAAATAATACTTATCTTCCCATTTTCTTTGTCCCCATAAAAAATGTATCAGCAAATGGAAATTTTGTATGATTTATTGAATCTCGGTTAAATATGATGTTCTTAAGGAAGCAACATCATATTTAACAGGAGTTAGCTGTCAGGATCACTAGGACACAATGATTACTTCCATCTAAATCTTTAAGATAATGGTTAGTTCATCGATTAGATTAGATGGTATAAGCAAGATAGCTACAAAATTAGCATAGGAAACTGTTGCGGCTATTGAAAACATGGATTTCTAGCTCAAAATTCGACTCTACACTGGCTTTATCTTCAGATGATTCTGTGCAGGATATTTGATGTCTTCTGATCATTTGATGCTGTCTCTTTTGCATTCAGGAAGATACGATATCTATAAACCACAATTGGTTCAACGCCTATAACCTTTCTTGGGTGGTAAATTAAGCAATGCAATCAAGTTCATATTTGTGATTGAGAGTCAAGTTCAAGGATAATTATAAGTGACCTTAGTTATCTCATGATTTTTCATGCTATGGCAGTGGAATTTACTTCTAAGGGATTACAAAGAGGCCAAGGAATACATAGAAGACATCAAGGATGTATGTGACGACTTTGAAGGTCTTTGCCAGCGTAATCTTGCTGCTAACACAGGTGTGGTATATGCCCTTGCTGATTGCTTTTACCTACTATTAGAATATACTAAATTATCTTAGAATATCTTGATTATTTCTTAAATTTGTTTAGAATATCTTAGAAGATCTCTTAGTATTGAGTTTACTTTATTAGTTGTACTATAAATAGGGGTTAATATTATGTCTTTTTGTATCACAATATCATTGTAACGTCATTCACAGTATCATCAATACGTTTTACTTTTTGAGCATTCCTTTTTATCCTTCCATATATAAACCCTAAACCCTTAACTCTGAAGCTTAGTCTTGTGATCCTTTTTTCGGTTGGATTTTTAGTTGTCACCTTTCCTACTTGTTTTAGTTGTTGTCATCTCTCACTTTCAACACTTGTCATTTCTGTTGTTTTATCACCATTCTAGTCTCCCTCTTTAGCACGATGTTTTTCTCTCCCTATTCTAGTTTTGTTCTTGTTGTTGCATGCTTTTGTTAAAGCTACAATTTGCATCGTCCTTCTTGGATTTGTGGTTGTCATCTCCGTCACAAGCGATGTTGGTATTCTCTTCCATCCATATGTGATAAGTTGGATACATATGGTGAATATGCTCTAGCTTGAGGGGGAGTGTTGGATATAGAACTATTGAAGTTGTTCAAGTCTTGTGTGGTTCAGATATCTCGTTGTTTAGTTGAGGTTAGTGTTTGTGTTCTTGTATTGATCAAGGTTCTTCTCGATGCTCTTGATATCATCCCTATTATTAGTTAAATGATGGTGGTTTCTGATTGGTGGTGCTCTCTAATTCTTCCTTATGGAACATGAATCATCAAATTTGGTATTGCCTGTTGTGCGGCCAACATTCTTGTTAGTATGTTTGTTCATGATGGTTAAATTTGGAGATAGCTTATGTCATGAATAGTTAAATGTTGTTTTCTTTTGTTCATTGTGGTTAGACTTGGAGATAGCGTATGTTATAGATAGTTAAGCTTTGTTGCCTTATGACATTTGAAGATTGAAGTTGTTATCAATGGTTTAGAGCATTTGTTCCAGCTCCTTCATCGTAGCTACCATTCTACCATTTTCATTGCAGATTTTGCCAACGTTTACAACAACTTGAAGATTATATCTCATATTATTTTTATTATATCTCATACCTTAGAGAAATATCTCATTATTTTGATTATATCTTAGATTTGTTTTTGTCTAAAATATCTTAGAAGATCTCTTAGGATGAAAATTATTTTATCTTGCCTTTTATGATTTGTTTCTTTATTTAATTAAGAGACTAGTATTAATTTAAATAGGGGTTAGTATTATGTCTTCTCTATCATAATATCATCATTCACAATATTATAATTATATTTTACTATTTTGAGCCTTATTTTTTCTCCTTCTATATCTAAATCCTATAATTTCAACACCTATCATGCGTCATGAAATTTTCATATACTCTTGAGGCAAACAAATGCATATTTCTTAAACTAAAGTTCTAACTCAATAATAATTTAATCAGTTCTCTTCCTAGATTGAGTAAATTCATTCTTTTAAGATTTTATGATGATCAACTATGAATAGAAGTTCCTAGTCATCTTTTATAATTATTAATTTCAATAGTTTGTTTAATCTCAATGACAGTTTTTAATTTTAAACAGGGATGAATTTTTATGACTTCTTCACTTTAATATCATACTTCACATTGGCCAACTTGGCCTTACTTTGCTATATAAATGGAATACATGGAAGTCACAATGGGTTTTCATCCACAGTATCTCACCATTTATCTATGAATCTTGCATCTATAAGGAAGGTTGCATTAGAGATGAAACAGAAGCATGCTCTAGAAGGAAACCATCGTTGCGTTGCGGATATAACCAAAATATTTGAAGATACAAGGTTTTTCAAATTGTGCATGGATTTGGGAAGAACATATGCAATGATACATGAGCAACCTTTTCTGTCATCTGAATTTGTGAGCACTTCAATCCATGATTTGATGGATCTCAATGTTTTGAAAGCACACACTTCTTCACAGGTCTACACACCTGAAGATCTCATTAATATTATAGACAATGTTGTTATAGAAGAACTCTGCAGTTAAGTATGCTTGGCCGAGAGTAGTAATAGGATGAGTGACCTCCTGAGAAAACCTCGTGTTGTACCTCTTTAAAGAGGGTAAGTCTTGGTGTAACTGTAAGGTTGCTTTCCTTATGAATTGGAGGAGTTCAAGTGTTCAAATCCTGAAAACAATCTCTCCATTTGCGAGAATTAGACTACATATATCTACCTCAAACTTCACTAGGTAGGAGACTTCGTGCATTGGACCACCTTTTTTATTACTGTTGTAAAACTGGGTAGTTGTTACATTGAGTCCTCTTAAAATGCCCATTTGAAATTCATGTTTGACAACTGATAGCACTGTTGAATACCTCATACTGTGTTCCATTTAATAATGTGGTTTTTAATGATAATAAGTGTAGTTTTGTTTTTATTATGGATTTGATTTAGATTAGATCATGAATTTGGTTTAGTGTTGTAGCAGGTAAAACCAATCTATTTTTTGCAAAGTGGTCTTAGGACCCTTGCCTTTATATTATTTCTTCTTCTTAATTGCTTCTCTGTGTATTGGCTTAGCACTCTTTGTACTTTCTTAATATATTTTCTTTCATGTTTAAAAAAAATGTTCCATTTATTTTCTACAACCTGCTTACATCATTTTGGTTTTCTTTCATGAAGTTCCCTGCTCTTCATATTTGATGAACCTACAGAAACTACACCTCTTTGATATCAATCGTCTTGTTAAAGCGTAGAGTCAACTTTGGAACGGGAGGTTAGGGTAGGATCGTAGAAGCGGTGGAGCGTAATACGAAACGTAGTTCTACTTAAAATAAAAAGTTACATTAAAAAAGACACACACACACACATATATATATATATACCTAAAATAATAAAAGAACTTAGAAAATCATAAATAATAAGTCAAATTAACATTATACTGTCAAATCAAAAGTCACACCAAAATAGTAATAAGACTCATAAGTCATAACTCCTAAATCATAACTCTATACTCTAGGCATCTAATCAAGTAAATTGTTCAAGTCATAATCATAATAGTCATCTTCCTCCATGGCATCTTCATCACCATCATTGTCAAAGTTAGGGATATCCAAATGATTTAAATTAGGATTCCCAATATCTTCTAAAGATGCACCACCAGCATAATTAACATAAGCATCTTGTCCAACTTGAAAATTCTTCATCATTTGAAGCATCCATATCTGAATTTTCTTTATTTTCCAGAATCCAATTGTCATCACAATTAGCATCAAACATGCTATACTCATTTGCTTTCCTGAATTTCTTCTTCTTTGTCAATTTTGAATTAGTCATCACATAAACAACATCATTCATGGTCTTTTGTATCAAACAGTTTCTTCCCTTAGTGTGGACCTAAATAATTTTAACTTTAATTAACACATGATACTAACTAATTTTAAGGAAAGAATACAAAGTACAAGGCTGAAATTTTACCATCTCAAAGACACTCCAATTCCTCTAGTAGCCGGAGGAACTACAAGTTAAGCTTAACACATGGATGGCAAAATTTTGTAATTTAGGAAGTTCATGACCATAAGATTCCCACTATTGGACTTCCAAAGAACCTAGACTTGTTTTTAAAATCTTCAAGTTGATCATCAATCTTACCTATTTCTTTCATATTCCCACCATCTTTGTAAGACAATCATACAACCCCTTTTAACTTCAACATCAGCTTTAAAATTAGGATCATAATGTAATTTTGGGTTAAGGTAGTAGTGTACAACATGTAGATGCCTATGTAGTTGGTTGTCCCATCTTTGATCAATGATTTCCCATATCGGAAAATAACTAAATAATCAAAAACGTGAATTTATTTTGAGGATTGTGGGTATTTTACAAGAAAAAGCAACTTACACTAAATAAAATGGTATAAATTGGCAAAATTTACCTCTTCTTAACATTATTGAAGACAATTTGTATCTTCTCTTTAGCATGGTCCATTGCTTCATAAATGAAGCCCATGACAGGCTTCTCATTTGAATCCACCAATCGAAACACTTTGGATAAGCACCCTTCAAGCAAACCACAATGTTGTTCCAAAACTCTATCTATGACCACATTCTCAACGAATCTCCCATCCTTGGTCTTTGCACATTGACTTGATGTCCATTCAGTGGATGTGAACATCCTTATTAATACTTGCTTGTTATCAACCAAGCAACCCAAAGTCAAATAAGAAGTGGCAAAACGTGTGTGTGGTTGAATTTGTCCCCTTAATATGATAATGCAATAAGGATATAAGAGAAGTCCTTAATAGATGTAGGTAGTAGTAGCCTTTGTACCATGTTCAATTGTTTCTTTATGGATAGGTATCTTCTTCTCAAAATCCTCCAACATCAAGTCAATGCAGTGAGCAGCACAAGGTGTCCAGTACAACTTCATCCTTTTCCTCATCAATAACTCTCTGACTGCCTTATAGTTTGTTGCATTGTCTGTGACAATTTGGACAACATTTTCTTCACCAACCTCCTCAACAATTTCATCCATCATCCTGAAAACCTTGTCGGTTGTTTTAGAGAAGTGAGATGCATCAATAGATTTAAAAAAATTTGTTCCCTTAGGACTATTTACCAAAAAATTCATTATAGTCCTCCTCCTCTTATTAGTCCAACCATCCGTCATTATGGTGCATCCCACTTTCTTCCAAAATGCTTTATGTTCCTCCGTAGCAAGCTTGGTAGAAACAACTTGTTGCTTCAAATACTTGACTCTAATTTCATGATAAGACGGTGGCTTGAATCCTATATCATGTCTCACAACCAATTCAAACATTTTCTTAAACTCATCACTGTTTGTCACATTGAAGGCTATAACATTGTTGTAAAAAAATGTAGCAATTTCTTGGCATGTTTCCTCCCTCAAATTCTTCTTGAATATGGATTTAATGGTGGGTTGACTGCCCACTCTCATTCTCTTGAAAAGCTCAGCAAAAGTCTCAATTATTTCTTCTCTTTTTCTTTTTTCAGCCTCCTCTTCAACATCATCTCCTCCTTCGTGATGATTTTTTTCTTTAAAAGATTTTTATGCAATGAGGACACAATTGCAAACATATTTTTCCTAACTTCATCACTGACATTTTTGCAAGGTTCAACATCCTTATGAGTTCCAACCAAATGATGTTTATCCCACTATTAAATATCTTTGTACTATATTTGCATTGAATTTTTCTTATACTCCCATCAATAGAAATGTCATGTTTCCACCCCATATCATTCCTAATTCCTTTAGTATTATTTGGCCCCTTCCCATTTCCTGGAGCAATAGTGGCAGTTGACGTGGTTTGTTAAAAAATAGAGGGAAAATAAAAAAGATGGGGTTGGAGGAGCAGTAACACTTTTGAGGAAGAAACAAAAAAGGTTTTGGGTGAAATAGCATAACCCTATTGTTGTTGTTGTTGTGCAATTTGAGAAAAAAAGATGAATGAAGAGATAATGCAACATGATTTTTATAGAAATAGGTGAATGAATTTTTGATAAAACTAGTAGGTTACCCGTGCATACGCACATGTGTTAATGGGTATTGCACTAATTTAATTAAAGAATAACATTATAATATGTAAATATTAAAAATCTTTCTGAGTGTTTAAATAACAGAAGTAAAAAGACCTATATAAGAGATATCAACTAAATTTTATATTTAAGAAAGATAAAGTAATTTTTAGCTAAGAAAGAGATATATATCTATTAAATTACTTTAATGAATATTAAAGAAACGTATTAAAGTAATCATAAATATTATGATTTATATCTCTATATATATATATAATCTATGGTAAATTTTTTGCAAACATGATAGTAAAAAATAAACCCAATTTTTCCAACAAAAAGGTCACTCAAAAAGGGGAAAACAAAATAAGTAAAATATTCACCCACAACTACATATTCATATAGATAAAAATAAAATTGTACTATATGTTCAAGCAAAAGAAAAACAGTATGAGAAACACAACTTCTAAAAGATAATCAATCACTTGATAAAATGACCCTATAGTCATAAACATCATCATTGAGATGCAAAAAGTCATCCAGTCTTAAAATGCTTTCGCACATTGGAAGAAGACAATTCAGATGCTGCATAATTAGGAATTTGATTGTTGTCCAAATCAAACTTAGGCCTCAATCTCTTAGATGAACTTTGGACTTCAATGTTGTTTGGGTCATGTTCACCAGTAAAGGACACAATATACAGAAAAGAAGTCCAAACATATTTTGTAAACATGCAGTTGACATAAATGGCAAACAACAACAGAATGACAACAACAGAATGACAAACATCAACAGAATTAAACAACAGAATAACCTGAGGTGATGGAAGTTGCTGGGGACCCACACTCACTGACTCCAAACAACAAGGGATAGTAGAAAAACTACAACAACAAAATTATTATAATCCTATTCTCATTTCAAAAGACTTGGGTATATAATATAAAAAATGTAATTTCTGCATGAAATTACCTTCTCTTATACTTTTCAATGTCACTTATTTCATCTCCAATAAACAACTTTGAACCAAAAGTCGAACTTGAAACAGTTTGTGGTAAATCATCTACAAAAATTTCAATAAGTCATTCAATGTATATTAAAGAATGAATTTCATGAAAAACCTACAACGATCCCAACCTCTTCCATTCCTTATTTTAGCATTTGTTAAGACAATGAACATCGACTCAAGACATCTATATTTTCTAGTATGGTTGACAAATTTGATTGTAAGGGACTGATAAAGATTACACGTAATCACATTACCCCTGAAGACAGCAAATACAAACATAAAGAATGTAAACATCAACATCAAAACAAACCAATAAAGGGAAAAAACAGTTAAGAATATTCAAAGTTAAACAGAAAAATTACCTAAGATCTAGGAGATGAAATGTGACTTTTTTCAAACTTGTGGACATTTGGGGAAGATGGAATTGACTTGAACTAAACCGATAATTTCTACAATAAACAGAATAAAATAAATGTTATTATATATACATATCTTGATTGTACAAAACTAAGTTAAACTAATTTGCAGTAATAAAATTTAAGGAATTAGGCCTAACCTATTAACCAATGAGTTC